ATGCACAGATTACATAAAGTATTCTAATTATGTGGCCTAAACACAATAATGAGTACATGTCCACTGTACATGTATTTACAAATTTACTGTACATGTAGTGTGGAGCTTGGACAGTAGTTTGTCTGTCGGTGCTAACAAGTTGTTTGCCAACTATGCTGATTTTTTTTATAACACACTTTCCAGTACAAGTAAGTATACTTTATGTAATTATAATAAGTACATGTACTTACTTGTTATTGTTTTTAGTCATTGTCACAGCTCTTGCTACTGATTCTTGTACATCAGTTGGTAATAATTTAATATCACCTAACACTCGTATGCACACACCATGATTATCAATTAGATCACTATAAATAATTCTTTATTTGAGCTGTCCTCTCAATTAACTTCATTAGTGTGTCAGACAATCCAAGCATATTAGCAATATTCCACATCTTATGCTGTGTAACCTATAAATAAATTAATTAACAAAACAAATAAACAAATCATTTTTGTTGTCTCCCTCTACAGTCTCTAGTGTTTTGTCTTATAGGCCACTTATTTTTATTTTAATTCATATTATCAATAATTTTATTATTATGAGATTAACTCTGGACTAGTATATGTTATTATCTTTACTATACATTATTTTACATAGTAAGAATAATGATAATAATAATAATATTAATAATTTTTTCCCAAAAATGGCTCCAAAATCATCCCAAATTTGTATTACATTTTTTGATACATATGTACTTATGCTGTGTACAAAGTTTGAGTGATTCTGACAAAATTTTTTTGAGTTACAACCATTTTTAAAAATTGGCTCATTTTTGAAAAGTATCTAAGGCTATAGCCCATAGTTTTTCTCAAAAAATGGCTACAAAATCACCCTAAATTTTTATTACATTTTCTGATACATATTGATGTACTTATGCTATATAGAAATTTTGAGCTGATTCCGACAAAAATTTGAGGTATGGCCATTTTTAAAATTTAGCCAATTTTTTAAAAGTACCTAAGGCTATAGCCCATGGTTTTTTCCAATAATGGCTCCAAAATGCCCCCGAATGTCCTATAGCTATAATACAATATCACTTACAATTACTCTTAAGTCCAGAGCCTTCAGCCTCCACTTCAGCAGCCTAGACTGAAAATAACATGATATCAACACAGTATTACATTAATATTATATAAAAGGATCAAATAAACTTACAATGGAGCCTTTAGTTCATTATCCATGGACATAGAGCTTCCTACATTTCCTTAAATGTATTTTTAATTTTGGCCACATTTACACAAATACATTTCAACAAAAACGAGGATATTTTTGGCCAAGTTTACACTGATATCAAATCCAAACAAAATAAAAACAAATACTAAAAGGAATAATTCTATAAAGAAATAATAAATTCTTATCACAATGCAGCTGCTGGATTAGTGTAAATGCCTGAAACAGGAATAACAAAAATGATGTGGTAGAGTCGTGTAAACATGACCTTATTTTTTAACAACTATTTTTTAAAAAATAGTATACTACAGAGTACCATTAACAAAAATATAAACACATAATTATTTGTATAGTAAAAAATTAATATCAATAGCTTTTAAAGTACTAGTTTAAACTTTAGTTCAATTCATTAGCTTACTAAATAATAACATTATAACAACAACAGCAATAGTAATTAATAATAATGATAATAACAATAATGATAATACTAATGATAAAAATAATAATAATAATAATCAAAAGAATGACTACAGGAGGAAAGATCTTGATCACTCTGAAGTGAAGTGGAGAAACAAGAAGTTGTTCAGGCAATATGTAAGAGAACTAGGTGAGTATACTGATGAGGGGAAGACATGGAGGTGGTTGAGTAAATGTGATCTTAAGCCAGAGACTGAAGCTCTAATTTGTGCAGCTCAGGAGCAAGACATTAGAATGAACTATATTAAGTGTAATAATTGATAAGTCTGCTGCCTCGCCATTTTGTAGACTATGTCATGAAAAAGGAGAGAGTATTAGTCATGTAGTGAGTGAATGCAGGAAGTTGGCTCAGTTGGAATACAAGAAGAGACATGACAATGTAGCTTAAGTATATTCATTGGGAGTTGCTGGGTCGTTCTTTTAAGAGAAGTGAGAGGTGGTATGAACACAGGCCTGAAGGTGTCATAGAGCATAATGGTGTGAAGGTAATGTGGGATTTTATGGTGCAGTATAAAAGATATATTGAACACAGAAAACCTGATATTTTGATAATTGATTTACTGCAAGGCCAGGAGAGGATAGATTATAGATGTAGCTATACCTGGAGACTGTAGAGTCACAAAGAAGGCGGAGGAGAAGGTCAATAAATACAAGACCTCAGACTGGAGATAATTTGGTTTGGAGATTAAGGCAGGTGGACATCATTTGAGTGGTAGTGGGAGCATTGGGAGCTGTGTCAAGAAATATCGAGAGGTGGTTAGAGGAATCGGGAGTTGTTATAAGGGTGGAACATATTCAGAAGATGGTGTTGTTGGGGAGACTGCGAATATCATTAGATGGACTATACAATGATACAATGATCATTAATTATTATCCATGTTTACTTGTTGTGAACCAATAATTTTTGTAACTTCTGGCTTGCTTTTGCAAGCTGTGTGTGTATATTCATAATGATAATGATAATAATAATTACTATTATTACTATTATTATAATAACAATGATATGGTGCCTCACTCATGGATTCTGGAGTGTCTAGATATGATGGGATGTGGTGAACGTGAGGAACTTATTGGAGAAGAGTATGAGTCAGTGGAAGTGTGAGCTGAATGATGGGGGACTGTTTTGGGAGAAGTACCAATCAATTGAGGAATATTTCAAGGTGATAGTCTTTCT